GGGGGTGTGCCGGGGATGGCGGGCGGTGATTGGCCGGCGCTGTGGGGAGCTGGCCTATCCCCGGGCGCGCAGAGGGGGCGTGGCGCGGAGCCCGGCGGCGAAGGCGCGCCCCGGACACGTGTCCGGCGGGAGCTGCGGGCGGCGATCGGCCGGGCCCCAGCCAAAAGGCGGGCCCCGGTGGTTCTGCCTCTTCCTCGTCGGGGGAAGGCGCTTCTTCACGATAAAACACCGCACGACGCGTAAAAGAAAGTCCACGGTGTTCAGCTTGGGCCTATTTGATCAGAAACAGTATCACCAAAGAAACAAATTAATTGGGTCTCGTCAAATCCTCTCAAATAGAGGTGTTGCAGCTCCCCCAGCTTGTTCCTTTGCCCAATAGGGGACCTAAAGCTTCAGGATAATAGTTTTTAGCTTTACTGTTTCCTACTGTGTTCGACAGCAGCCTAGTGTTAGCCATCGTAGCACTTACTCCCTGCTGCCCCAGGGCACAGAGTCAAAGGTGGTGTCTTGAGAGGGTGGGTCCAGACAGGCTGCTGCCACCGAAACTCTCTTCCTTGGTGCTTCTCAGGTCTGGAGCTATGGCCTTACTTTCTATGACAGTGCAAGCACACGAATGTACAGAATAAACTTGTTCTCCTTTCTTACTGCAGAATTATTCTTTGCCAAGTTTGTGTTCATGGTTTATAGCCTTATCAGCTCAAATTAACTTGATTTTTCTTTGTGCTTCTACATTCAGCAGGTGTAAAAGGAGGAAAATATTCTTGTAGTTCATATCTATCTGGTGGAAAAGCTGAAAAAAATCGGAAATCTTCAGTAGTGCTAGTGAAGCTGTAAAGTAACAGCACTGTAACTTAAAAACTGGCTTAGAGTATCAAGGATGTCTGAGTCTATCCCTCAATCTCTAATTGTTTAAGTTGTTTTTTTTTTATTACTATGGTTTTAGGCTTTACGCTCAAGTTCCCTGCTGTCAACTTTGTAACAATGGAAATGTATCTAATGTGTTTTGGGTTTGGTTTTTATAAGGTTTTAAAATCTATTAACAGGGGGAAAGCTTGTTTGGTCGTATTGGATTCCAAGGTCTAGGTGGCCATGGAAACTAACATATCTTCTTAACTGTAAAAAAGAGGGTGCTTTGGGTGTGGTGTTGAGAGAAAGACAGAGAAGCGTGGGGATATTTTGGTTTGTTACTTCTGCCCCTTCTACAGGCTCTGGTTATACAGCAGAGGCTTTCTGTCTCTAAGACTGTTCCTTCACCAGCATTAATTTGTGGGAATAAAGAACAAAAAGCAAAAATGGGATTATTAAGCTCTACCATAATATCTAGACAAAGTTTTTAAATTTTCATATTAAAAACACTTCAAAAGATACTGTATATATTTTCTTAGTATGTGTAGAGACTTCTGCAGAATACGTGTATGTAAGTATTCAGTTTTTAAAATTTAGAAAAAGATTTTGAGATTTTTTTTTTAATGCTTGGATCAACGAGCATACCTGACTTTATCAAATTTTCCCTCTGTAGAAAATAGTAGGCTAGCTAACGTAGTTCCAGTTTGATACACTAATATGTTTTAATTAGTATGCATGCTTATTACAGGCATCTGCATATAATTAAATGAAACCGTAAGCAGCTACTGGATGGGGATAATACATCATAAGCTCTGTTCATCAGCTTTCAGAGTTTTCTGACCAAAAACATCCCCTGAAGCCCTAGTGCAGGCAAGTAGTTAAGTAGCATTCTCTCATGTTGGAGTAAGACTGTTAAGGTTAAATGCTGAAAGGAACTTGAGTACATCAGTATCTTCTCTTTTAAAGACTAAAGGGCCTTCCATATGGTCTTTCAGCCAGTAACCTGAAACATCGGTTTCCTTATCGTCTTGTGCTTCTGGGTTTGGGATCCTGGAGTCACCTGTCAGGGTGATGTTAGCAGTATCCTAGGGAAGAAGATGACAATATATTGATGAGATGTAACATATGTGTTTCTTCTCATCTCTTTTCCCAGCTTAGACAGACCATGACAAAGTTCTGTCAAGAGCATTTGGCTCCGAAGGCCCAACAGATTGACCAGGAAAATGAATTCAAAGGCATGCGGGCAAGTATTTCATGTGTGCATTTAAAATAGATGATATTGAAAGCCTGTCTGCACTTTGATCTGTACATTAATCCAGACAAAGAATCCTGGTCCACACCACAGGAACATATGCACTAACTTTTCAGACTTGAAAGCCATAGAGAAAACAATTTTTTGATTTCCTGTTTTGTCTTTTGTTAACAAAACTTCAACAACCTGGGGCAGAACCCAGCCAGCATGCAATTAAAAAAAAGAAAAAAAAAAAGTTTGATAATGGTCTCATTTAGATTCTTATAGTGGTATTTCTGCTTGGCTCTGTTCAGACTCCTCCTCTAATATGTGTTTTGTATTCTCCTAGCTAGGACCCTTTCTTGGACATCTGAGTTTCCTTTCAAATTTGTTGTGAAAATATTGTGTGTAAATGCTGAAACATAGGGTGGTTTGACTGTTGAGCTGAAACTTGCCTTCCTAATAAAAACAACAAATTCTGTGCAATAGGATGGTTTGATTGATGAAAATGAGAGACCTAACTATTGGTTTTCATAAGCTCCACAAGACTTAAAAAGCTCAGAACATCTGCTAGGATTTCCCGGAGCTCTGATGCTGACATTTTCAGGGATATATGCGCAGCTTTGAAGTTAAGTATATAAATTTAGTCTGGCGCACCAGATGTCATCCAGAGCTATTGGATAATAGTTTTTGAAGTCTGTGGAGACTATTCACTGATAACTCTCTTATCGCTGGACACTGAGGCCATGTGACAAGCATTCACCTGCATGTCCATCATGTTGCGGAGGAGAAGCTGCAAGTCTGAAGCAGCAGCAAAGAGATGGCCCCTCCAGCATACATGTGGTCCTCGTTGGTGACATCGTTTGCTACTGTATTATGTCATGGCTTCCCTCTTATTCTTGGATGCTGTGTGCCAGACACAGCTGATGTGTATGTCTCAAGTCAGCCAGCAGCTCTGTGCCTCGAATCTTGTAGCTGTCACTTGAGTGGTGGTATTGCCAGAGTGATAAATCTGGGTAATAGGCAAATGGAGGAGTCAGCAGTCAAGGAGGTCTTGTCCTCTAGCAGATGAACTTTGTAGCATACATGTCCAACTAAGCAAAACTCAGTAATGCTATCCAGTCCCCATGTGTGTCTCGTGTCCTGGAAGTCTTGAAAACCTACAGGTTATGTATTTGAGTGGCCCTTGTGGATTTGACTCCTTTAGCTTCACAAGTCCAAAGTGTTCTCAAATTCTTTGTTGTGGTCACCTTTTATAACTTTTCTCGTACCACCTGCAAGGCGGGCAGCACCTCTGTCTGCCTCAGCTGTAACATTCCCATTTTTTTAACCTCTCCTAAGGAGGCCTCTTTGGCTTTACTTATCAGCTTCTGTTCTACTTGAGGAGTTAAACTGCCAGCTAATAGCAACTCTTCTAAGTATTTCCAGGGTTTCAGTCATGGATCGCTTATGCTAACCACTCTTTGAGGCAGCCACAGGCTGATAGGCTTACGTAGTACTGCCAAAGCACGGTGACAAGGATGTGTGAAGTAAAAAGACAAGCATAAATTCAAGTCATAACATCCTAAATAATCTTTAGCAAGAGATGGTATATGGAAGCGTAGAAGTGTAGGTTTTGAAACCTACACTCCCTAATGGGAGGTTTTAATTCAACGAAGTTCTCCTTAAACCAGGCAATGAGTTAAATATTAGGACTTGTCCTTCCAGAACTAAACTTAGGTTGTGAATTTTCACTGAATTCAACAGACTACTCCCATGTGTAGCGTAACTAGCATCGTCAAGTCTGTCTGGGTCCTTAGTCCAAAGGATGGAGCTGCTGCAGGAGGCATAGGTATTGCTGTATTTATCTCTGAGATATCACAAGAATAAGGTAAACTGATGTGTCTGGTGAGCTACCTGGGAAAACTTCTTATGCTGATGCCCTGACAGCGAGTCTGGACTGATTGCTTGCTCTGTATTTGTAGGAGTTTTGGAAGAAACTTGGGGAACTGGGAGTTCTGGGGATTACAGCTCCTGGTAAGTCTGTTCCCACGTTTTACCTTCTGGTGGGTGATTCTTCAAACAAAAGAGAGCCTACTTAAACTCACCCTGTCCAGTTCATAACAGCTTTATCCATGATATGACATCCATTTTGTCCAGAAGCTCCTATCTTCATGTTTTTTAAAAACTCTTTTTGGCAACTTTGTTATTCTTCGTTGAATCAGAATCCTTTTTTCCTTGTTAGACTTCTGGATGATTACAAAATGCCATTTACAATTTAAAAGTTCTCTTCAGAAATGGTTTCTCCACATATAGGCAACTTGAACATGTTTGCGCTTCTCCAATATGAAGCATTTGCTGCAAGTTTTGAAGAACGAGAGCTATAGATAAAAGTATCCTAGAACAAACATCCATCTCTAATAGGAGAAGTTAGAGGGTATAAAACAATGTTGTGAAAAGCTGTGATAGCTAATGGAGAGCTGACCACATCCAACCAGTCAGAAAAAATCAGGGTAAATCTTATTCAGCCTTGTCCAGGTTAGTTGAAAAGTGTTTTGATTAATGTTATAGATTACCGAGGCTGCTGTGGTCATGCTGAATGCACTAACACAGTGTAATGAGGAGAAGCCCTTAGTGGAGAAAAGCAGCCAATGGGGCCTTTATTTCCCCATCGTAAAGTCTGTGTTTCTAGATGTGTGTGTGCAAAGGCTTCTGCAGAAGCAGGCTGAATAGCAATGTGTTGAAATAATGCCTCTGCATTTCTTTCAGTGGCACTGAGTCTGCTTGAAAGAGTCTGTATTTCTGCTTTCTTTCTCTTTACTCTTCCCAATTTACTGCTGCTCCTGTTTTTTCTCACTCTTACCTTCTTTCTTCTTTGATGTTGTGCCTGAGGCTTACAGCAGTTTCCCACACTATAAATAAGCCGTCCCCTCATGAGTCCTGTCCTTTTTGATTTCCTCAAAGATTTACCTCTAAAACCCTCCTATGCCCAGAATTTTTTGCCTTATTTTTGATTGTATAGCTATGTGCAGTTTCTTTATTGCCATTGGTTTTGTTGTAGGAGGTGGAGACTGGGATTTAGGATGTGAAGATAATGTGAAATCTTATGAGGGTGTATGCTCAATTAAATGGTATATTTGGGCACCAGTGGATCAAGTCTTTTAAGGGAGCATTTTAAATAACAGTGCTTTTTGTTTTCTTTTTAGAACTAAGAAGCTATGTTAGTTTGATGTAGTTTTCCATTTCTTTTATAAAGAGCTAAGTTAAAAAATGCAAATATGTAGCTACCATGGAATAATACTACAGGCATGTCATATATAAAGAGTAATTTTGAAAGGGCAGTGTCATTCTAAATCACACTATGGTTTTGTATTATATGAGAAGTTGTCTGGCAGGGTTATTTTCTTGTACCTTTTGGAGTACAAAGCAATCATGGGCCAGTACTGCTTACAGCAGGTAGTTACCTTTCCGTTCTTGAGGCAAGAGCACCAAACCCATCCGTTCCATAGGAATGAATAGAAAACTCTTGTTTTGGCATATATGAGAAATTGTTAAACCCGTCTTTTAGGATATTGATAGTAAAACCCCAAACTCTTATTTGTAGTAGAGAGAAGTGATTTCAGAGGGTAGAGAGCCCTGTAGATAAAGACATGAGTCAGAACGGGTGACATAGGAGATAAGACTGCATATAATGCCAGTGGCTATTGTGTTAATTTGATGAGTTGGGGGCAGTAGCCCTCTTTGAGCCCAGGCTGTGCATTCAGCTCTTTGGCCACTCTGAGCCTACAAACATATTTGCTCTTACCATTGTTGCTGCTTGCTTACAGCATTCATGTTGATGACGAGTAAGTGCTCCTGGATTACCTCCCTGACTACTTTGCAGTGTTTACATCCTTCTGTTTTAGTTCTAATCTTAGCAGTACAATCGCTTGCTTCTTGCCTGTAGAACAAAGCTTTTACATTGGGATGTGACTGTATTTGTGTGTATATAAATGTGTGTGTAGGTATATATATGTATATATTTATGTAGGCTGTCAGCTGCTCAAGGCCATTATGCATTTCTCAGCCTTCTCTTTTTTTCCTGCCTTCTCTCTCTCCCTGTTCTACTGTGCGCCTTTTTATCTTTACCACCGATTTTAGACTCAGCTCAGCATGCCTCGCTAGATTGCCAGCTCCGATGGTCATGCTGCTCCGTCTCACTTCATCCTCTCTTGAAATCCACATTCTTGCTACTGGTGAATTATAGCAGTTACATTTATGGATCATTCTCATTCTGAATCGGCCACCCATCAAAATGCTGGTCTCCTGCACATTTGTGAGCTTAGAGAAGTCCCTAGTGCCCCACTTTTTGAGTAGTTTGGGGATTCCTTACTTGTTTAGGCGTCCTTGTTAGGACAAACTTGGACTTTAAAAACTTTGCCTGTGTTCATTTGTCCTCTCACCGAATACAGGTTGCCACCTTGTGATTTAATCTTCATGATAATATTAAGGTTGCACTTAAGGATGGTTGATGAGAAGGACTCGCTATTGTGCAAGTGTTGGTAGCACGTTTTAGATGTACCCTTATGCATGTTATATGTATAAAACTATGCTGTACAAGTAAATTATTGATTATGCTGAAGAAGTAATATCACTGTGCCTTTAAGATAAGAAAACTGAAATTTAGAGAGGATGGGGAAAGCCAGAGGTGCCCAGCTCGGGGACAGTATCAGTCAAAACCAGAAGCTCTCTTGTAAGTCTCTTAGATCTCAAACAAAGCTGAGCCCGCCACTGGGATCTTGTGCGTGTGTCATATACTCTATGGTGGTTAACATGAAGTTTCTCTTCTCTCTTCAGTGGAATATGGTGGATCTGCTTTGGGGTATCTGGACCATGTGCTGGTGATGGAGGAAATTTCTCGTGCATCAGCAGCTGTTGGGCTTAGTTACGGTGCCCACTCAAATCTTTGTATCAACCAGCTGGTGCGTAATGGCAATGAGGCCCAGAAAAATAAGTACTTGCCCAAGGTATGTCGCTGGAATTGGGGTGGAACTGGAAAACATTTGGGTTTTGGCTGCATGCAAGGATGAGTGTCTTTCATGATGTGTAGCATCTTAAGCACTAGCTGATTTCAGCCACCCAACCTTAGGAAATGTTGTACTTGCCAAACTTGCCCTTCTCTAGCTTGTTAATTTTTTGTCTGTTAATCCATATTGACCTTGGCCTGTGCCTGTAGGCAACATAGTCCAGCTTTCTGGAGCTGTGTTACTAAATGAGGCTTTGAGGTGACACTGGATGATATTCTTCCAAATTCCCAAATTGTTTTGAGATTTCTGAATGAAAGTCACTGTTTTCCTATTTTATATTCTCCATTTCTCACTGCCCAAATTCTTGGTTTGCCTACGCTAATTAACTACATGTGAAACTTCATCATTTGGGGCATTGATGTTTGTGACTCAAAAGCATGTTAAACAGATTTCAGTATTTAAATGCATGGAAAAACTTAACTAGTACATTTAATCCCAGCTACTGAAATTTTCAGCAAAATTATCAGTGCAAGAAACTTGATTTAAACAACACGCAAAGTTCAGTGTCGCTTCCTGAAAGCATTGTGCAGCATGCTGATATGTAACCCTGAATTGTCCTCAGTGCTGCTCAGGTGAATTTTAATGCCCTCAGTAACTGCTTTCCAATGAGATGTGCTATCACTTTAGTTCTTACTTGTCTTGGTTCATGACAGAGTACTTAATGGTACTTAACTAGTTTTGAGCATATCATAAGACTTCTGTAGAAATGCACTGATGGATTGAATTGGTTGAACATGTATCTTAAGCATTGAGTCTCTTTTTTAAAAAACAAGAGATCAAAAGGAGGAGAAGATGGATAAAAGTACACATGGAGCAAAAGGAAAAAAAAAAGGCAAGGAGAAAAGGGCAGGATGAAAGGAACAGTGAAGAGGAAGCAACAGCTATGCCAGAGCCTGGTATGAGCAGGCACAGAAGGAGGGTGTCCATATGCTATTGTAGTGCGAGTGTGGGGGGACTGGGCTATGAGAACATTGCTAAGAACTTTGCAATCTCTTTTCATCCCCCTCATTGGCCTTTTGTGTTGAACAACTCTTGTTTATGTAAAAGGACAGTCATAAAGTGCAGAACAAGGAGCTTGTGAAAGGCATATGGCTGCCTGCATGGTTCTTTTGGCACCTTCCTGGAGATGGTGTTTTATAAGCAGGGCTGTACTCATCTAGCTCAGACATGAGTTGAGTCATCCTTCTTGCCCCACTGTGATTTGGTTCTGTTCCCTCAGCACAGCAGCACAAGGGAGCTCCCTGCTAGGACTCTACCAGGAGCAACGGCTCTCGTTTGCAGTTCTTGCATAGAACAGCTACTGTGGAGATTCAGTGCAGAAAAAAAAAAAATTGGAAGGCAGGCTAAAGAGGGAACAGAAACAATGCTACTGTTCTTCCTTCCTTTCTTATATTTGTCTTCCAGCTAATCAGCGGGGAACACATTGGAGCCTTAGCAATGAGTGAACCCAATGCTGGATCTGATGTTGTATCCATGAAGCTGAAAGCAGATAAAAAAGGTAAAGCCTGTCACGTGCTGCCTGGATAGATAGCCAGCATAAATAATGTCTCCTGTAAATTTAGACTAACCTTCCCAACACCACTGAGATATGGTGCTTAGTCTTGGGTATACCAGGCCATATTTGCAGGCTTGTGCTGCCTCCCAGGAGACTCAATGTGTGAAAAAGCCAGGTAGTGAAGACACAAGGTGGGTGGTTGAAGGTCTAAAAGTGGATTTCTGATTGTGGTGGTGGAGGTTGGTGGTATGATGGAACCAGTGGTAGGTGCCTTAGTTTGTCAGGCATTTGTTAAACTGTCTTTGGACTCCAGAAACTAAGGAAATGAGTTTTCTTGAACTTGGGAAGGATTTGTGCCTGCCGTTTGTGGGGGTCTTAAAGAGCATCCTTGGAAGCCTGTTTTGAAATAATTAGAGTGAGGATATAGGTGTTGCTCTGTTGTGAGCTAACAGATTGCAGCTCTTTGCTTCTAGGAGACTACTTTGTTTTGAATGGGAACAAATTTTGGATCACCAATGGGCCAGATGCAGATGTTCTCATCGTTTATGCTAAAACTGATGTTAATGCTGTTCCAGCCTCCCGCGGTATAACTGCGTTCATTGTGGAGAGGGTAGGTTTAATAATTCTCACAAGCTTATTGTAATGTGATTTTTAAAGCTAACTGCTTCACCCTAACTGGCTCATTTAGAAGCCAGCTAGTTTTCTTTCTACATCTGTCAGCCCCTTGCTCAAAGACAAACTACTTTGTGCCTGAATTTTATAAACCCATGAGATTAGTCCTCTGCCCCAGTGACATGGCATACTGCACTGTCAGCTGGGCACTCCTGGATTTTGGTATCCAAGCATGTAACCAGTTTTTAGGGCTAGAAATGTAGAGAGAACGGACGAGATTGTAATATAAAAGGGCTTGCGTGCTGCCAAAAATTGCCAGAGATATTGGAGGCCTTATAAATATGTCCTACTATCCTATTATCTAACTTCATGTGTTTGTGGTTTGTTTGGTTTTTTTAAGTCAAAACAATAAAATAGCTCCATTCATCTCTTTCTCCCATTTTCTTTCACTGCCCCTTTGGAATCCTGAAATGACCCAAACATGCATGCAAAGCAGAGCAGCCCAAAGGGAGAAGAAACAGGCTGTTCAACAGGGAGCCCTTGGAAAACAGGAATCTATTGGGTTTTTTCCTTCCCTTTTAATTATTTGAGGCTATGCTATACACATCTCTGTCACCACAAGGAAGCTGTAATAAAGTAAATGGTACTGGAAATACAAAATCTCGGAGATCAGTAAACCTTCTGATGGACTTAACCTGATGTAATGATTAGAACAGTTCAGTTACTGGCAAAGCTTGCAACCCTTACTCGAGAAGAGTCAGTGCTGGCAGCTGTCCAAATAATTTATTTATTTAATATTTATGTGCATTAGAAAATAGATGCACTCAGTTCATACGTACCCCCGACGTGTGCATGTTTCTCTGCTCATTTGCTTCCTCCGCGCTTGCACTTACACCATTCTTGTTCCCAGAGCGGGCAGTTTATTTGGACTCCCTTCTGGTACCCTATGCATGTTCATGTGGTCAGGGAAATTTCACAGACATGTAGTGATTTTATTTAGACTGTCAGAATTAAGATTTGAAATGTATTTTGAATGTCTTGACTTTGCAGGGAATGCCAGGTTTCAGCACAGCCCAGAAGCTCGATAAGCTGGGAATGAGAGGGTCTAATACCTGTGAATTGATCTTTGAAGACTGCAAGATCCCTGGTGAGTTGGGTTGAAATCATGGCAGTATGCATGTGCTGGTTTCCTGTCTTCTTGATCAGATAAATTGGATCACTAATTACATGCGTGTTCAGACTGTGACCTAGAGGGCTTTGCAGATGGTTATCTGCTCTTTGGCAGCCTCACAAGAGAGCTGGTGTAACTGGAAAAGTGCAATCTGCTGGATTGCAGTGAATGAGCACATCCCTTGTTAGGTCACTCCTGTTTCACCCTCATGGACCGAACTCTTAACGACTGCTTCTGCAAAGCCTATGTGAGGCTTCCAAAGAAACTTGTTTATTTCCATTAGAGCTTCCCATCTTGTATATTGGAGAGCTTATTTGCCTTGAAGTTGTTTGGTTGTTTTTTTTTTCTCCAAAATCACTGGAGACTATCCAACAGACTTCTGGTTTGCCTGTAACATTTCTGAGTTCTTTTGGGGTCAGGGCCTGAGAATGGACAGGCCCTTTTTTCTTTCCCCCGTTAGTTAGTACAGCAGGGGCCACAGTAATGGCCATTTTTGTTACTCTGGTGGCTATTTTTGTTGATAGAAAAATTACAGCCTCTATACAGCAAGTGGAGGAGATGCCTTATCTGGACTCATGAAAATGCTAATTGCATATTGGCAGAGCAAGTAACTCTCCTGCTCCCCATACACCACCAAAAGCTGCTTTGCAGTAAGTGGAAGAGTTTCAGCTGAAATCTGACATTTCTAACTTTATTGGATCCCTCCACTCTGAAGTCAGAAAGGCCAGTGCCCCAGTCTTCAGATCATCTCCTGGGTAATCATCCGTACAGAACAGCATGTTCTCATGGTAACAGGATTTCCATTTTCTCATCACTCAGAGAAGAACATCATTGCAGTGTTGAAAGTTAACATGCTTTGCACTCTGGCCATTAATGCTGCTTCTGATCTTCTGCCTTGGAAGCTGAACCAGTTTGATGCTGTTTCATATGTCTGCAGGATCTTTCTCTCAGGTCAAGATGTCCTCTAGCACTGCAATTCCATCCACTTTAAAATACGTGGGTTTCACTGTCAGCCATGCTCCGCTGAGTGGCTGGTGTTTTTCTCATAGTAACTGTTGTCCATGGATTCATTTGGTCATGTTGCATTGGTTCAGAGCCCCAACTTTTTTTTTTCTTTTTTTCCTGTGATGCAGCCAGCAGGTCTGCCTCCCTTGTGCAGTCAGCACGCATGTCCTCCAGCTCACCACATACCTATCCATCCCTTTTCCCGGGACGTACAGGAAAGTGTTCAGGCTATTCAGTCCTTTTTTAGCTGCAAGATGTCATTACTCATGAACAGCTTTGTCACTTTATTATTACTGATGCTGGCGTTTGTGTTCTGTTCTTCAAAGTAATGTTTGCTATTAGTATTTTTCTTTCTTGTCTGTGGGGCTTTTGAACTTTTTCTCTGAAAGCCAAGCTTCATTCTTCTTCCTCTTTCTAGTTCCAATATCATGATGATGGCCCTGCAGAGGCTGCATTTCTCCATACATTACATCAATGTGCTTTTCAATAAGCAGGAGACAATGCAGTCCATGAGCTTGTGCCTCTGAAAAACAGATTGTTTATTTCAGGAGACTATCTGCATTTATCCAAGTCCTGTATCATTTTCACTTTGCATATCACACCTCTGGATCTCTTGTGATCCCACCTGGAGTACTACATCCAGCTCGGGTGGCCTCCACATAAGAAGGATATCGACCTGTTGGAGCGAGTCCAGAGGAGGGCCATGAAGATGATCAGAGGGCTGGAGCACCTCTCCTATGAGGATGGGTTGAGATAGTTAGGGTTATTTAGCCTGGAGAAGAGAAGGCTCCTTATAGCAGCAGCCTTCCAGTACCTAAAGGGGGCCTATAAGAAAGCCAGAGAGGGACTTTTTACAAGGTCATGTAGTGATAGGACAAGGGGTAATGGCTTTGAACTGGAAGAGGGTAGATTTAGATTAGGTGTAAGGAAGAAGCTCTTCACTGTGAGGGTGGTGAGGCCCTGGAACTGGTTGCCCAGAGAGGTTGTGGCTGCCCCATCCCTGGAAGTGTTCAAGGCCAGGCTGGACGGGGCTTTGAGCAACCTGGTCTAGTGGAAGGTGTCCCTGCCCATGGCAGCTGGGGTGGAACTAGAGGATCTTTAAGGTCCCTTCCAACCCAAAACATTCTGTGATTCTGTGATCAAAGCCTGAAGCAAATGTCAGTTCTATGCGGTGTGATCAGTGGACAATCTCTCCAGCTACAAAGCACAGTTGTCAGTCTTTAAGTTCTCTCCTGATTGTAAGAGTACAGCCTTACCGAGATGCCGATATTTTTGTTCCTGCTTCTCTTTTTATGCTTGTTAACATCAGTGCATGCTTTAGATTGTCCCAAAGTGAAAGAGTTTCTTGAGGTTTTTTTCTCAGCCCATTATCTAATGTGGCTATTTTCCTGTTCCGTTTTCACAGAAATACTACTTGTCTTTTTAAAGTGTTTATTTATAACAGCTGCAATGTTCTGTTCAGCCGCTCACAGAAGGGGGGATAATGGTTATTTGTATTCTCCAATCTCAGAAGACTAATATATATCACTCCAACATGTGGTAAGTGGTGAGCTTTGACTGCTTGCCTGTGTAAGCTTTGGTTCCTGTATTGGGAATGCTCAGAGAGGTGACCCAAGCATATCAGACCTGGATGTGCATTCATTTCAAATACACACTCAGTAGACATCAGATGGTAACGCTGTCAGTTTGGGTTAGGCACAAACTAATGGGATGGTGAAGGGGACTCCCAATTTGTCCTCCCAGGCTATTAAGTCTGCTGTTCTTGTTGGTACAAATGCTGAGCTGGAAAATCTCTGGAGAGCACCTTACTCTTAGAAAATAGGCAAGAGAATAGCAGTGATTGTAGACACACTTTACTGCCTCTACTGCCTTTGTCTTTTGGGCTTTGGTTGGATTGGAAAGACATTTCAGTGGTAGGAAGTACATGTATCAAAACTCAGCGCCTGTCTAGCTCATCCTGAATGTTTGGGTCTCAAGCCAAAAAGAAAGGTGAAGGGGACTTGAAAGTTTGAATTTTCTCCCCAGTGAACACAAGCCCTCAGACAATAGCTTATCTTAGTTTTGCACATAAGTAAATCACTTTCCTTTGCCAATTGCAGCTGAAAACGTCTTGGGGACACTGAGCAAAGGAGTCTACGTTCTGATGAGTGGATTGGACCTGGAGAGACTCGTGCTGTCTGGTGGGCCACTGGGGTAAGGGTTTGTCATCTTTTGTAACGCCAGAAGTATCCTTCACAATCACCTACCCCACTGGGTCTCCAACTGGGATTGCAGATCTCAGTAGGAAGCAACTTGGATGGGGAACTGAAATACTGGGGCAGCTTCTGAGAGAAGAGGAAATGCGGCTGGGAGGAGGCAGCTGGGTTGGAGTTGTGGGAAGGAAGCCAGAGCAGGAAGATCCTGTAGCTGCTGGGTGCTCTAGCTGTGACTCCTGATGGAGGGGACTCAGCTCTGCACTCCCAGGCAGCCACAGCTTGCTCTGCATGTGCTCCACCTTTTCCTTCAGCTCTCGTCACCTCTCTACTCCTCATGCAGTTTTTTTCACTTTGAAAACATCTATATGGAGCAGAGGGGCAAGGGATAGAAGAAGCAATGCCAGAAAGAAAGTTTGCAAATCTCTGCCTTCCAGTGTAGCACAGGCCACAGACCCTCCAGAGCATGCTTTTGAAATTATTAGTCTTGATGTAAACATTTCCAGAGATGATAAATCTGCCTTGGTCCCCAATTGCTTGCTTGGGTATCCCTACAGTGTGTATTACTCTGGGAATAACCAGCTTATTTGCGTTACTGATTCTTTAAAATCTAAAACATTATCCAGGCTGTCACACAGAAGGACCACTGGGCTGGGTAAAGGGTTTGTTCTTCATTTATTTAGCCTTTAAGCTCCCTGGTAATTATTTTTACCCTACAGTCCTTTTGTCCTCCCAAGTGGTCTCTCTGTACTAATCCTCATGTGGAAAAACTATCTTCCACAAAGCAGAAGGAGAGTTTTTCACCCTTCTTTTTCTTGTCTGTGCTTTTTTTATGGTATTGGCTAGTACTTCTTGAGTTGGTAGTCTCTGGAGATGAAAGGCAGCACAAACTGTCCTGGCTACAGTTTTAAGAAAGCTCTTTGACATTTTTTCTCAGTCCCCTGAATTAAGAAGGTAAGACCTTACCACAAGATGTCCCAAATGAGCAATGTGTAGAGCACTAGGGAATAAAATGAGACCTTTGGATTTTATTCTTAGCATTGTTTGAGTGGAGCTATAGGAAGACAGCAGCATATCATTTTAGGTATGAGAACCTTTTTGCTTTAGATTGCGCTTCCAAGGTTTAATTATTATTAATAGTTCTGTTTTCCTTTTCCTGCATATCTGTGCTTTTCTTAGGCTCATGCAAGCTGTTCTTGACCATGCAATTCCATACCTACATGTCAGAGAAGCATTTGGACAGAAAATTGGCCACTTCCAGGTGAGGCAGAAAAGCAATTGGTAATTTTTGTCGCCTTGCTTTTCTCTTTAAAAATGAGAAGACAAAGAGCTCTGTTGTGGGAGGGCTTTGCACGGAGAAAGTTGCCTGGAATTTGTGCTGGGGCTGCATGATGTAATGATGCGGTGAGAAGGTGAAAGGATCTCTGAGCCTGTTTACCTGAGGCCAGTGTTAGTGGGTGAGGGCCTGCGACTGACATCTGGGAGTCTGTGAATTGACAGAACCTCCAGCTCCCTCATATGTCTGCTGAATCCACATCTTCTCATTTGTCTAGTTTCTCTGAGGTAGCCTGGGGATGGGTGATCCCTGGTGCTCAAGCAGAAAATAATCTTCCCCTTGCTCATGTTAATGTCTCTCGTCTTCTGCGACATGCAGCTCATGCAGGGCAAAATGGCTGATATGTACACACGGCTGATGGCGTGTCGGCAGTATGTCTACAACGTGGCAAAGGCCTGTGACCAGGGCCATTTCAATGCAAAGGTGAGCTTGCTTCTACCTGGGCAGTGTCTGCTGGGGGAATTCCTTTCCCTTTGGTCCCAGATTGTGAGCAGGGTGTAGGTTGTGTACTGGCGGTTAAAATGACAGCCCTAAGTGCTTGGGGTTTTTCCCCCAAAGAAAAAGAAAGCCTTGTTCTACAAGGCAACAGATTTAACAGCATCAGTAGGTGTTTATTAGAAGCCCAAACACAATATCCTGGCTATTGTCAGGGGCTGTAGCCCTTACATTCGGAGGTGTTGTCATCTCCACAACTGGCACTGTCACCACACCTCTATCAAAGGAGGGGACTGAGTGTTTAACAGTTGAAGCACAGAGCCCTGCATCCCAAATCAAATCACCTTGCTCTCCTGTGGGTGTGATGTGCATTTGTGAGAGACTGGCTCCCCTTCTGCACTTTTTTTTTTTTTTTTCATCTTCATGTGGCCTTTACAGACCTGACACAAGTGTTCTGTAGTGACAGAAAGACTGCTGCAGCTTCCTATGTGCTGGGGAATGAATCCTGTGCCTTTGTGATCAGGTAGTTCAGGCTTGTTAGCAGGTGTCTGTAGAGTAATGGAAAGGTCAGAGCAACACGGAGATTGGAGATGGGCAGGTGACACCTTTCCTGACTGTCATCATTGTGACTCTCCTTTAGGACTGTGCTGGAGTGATCCTGTATTCAGCAGAGTGTGCTACCCAGGTGGCTCTGGATGGGATTCAGTGTCTGGGTAAGTCACTGGCAGTGTTCGTTTCTTTGAGCTATTGCTGGAGAGAGCCAAGCGCAGTGCAGGAGCAGTGCTCTCTCCCATCCCACCCTCAGCCCCTGAAATCAGAGAGAAGAAATGACTTTTAACTTCTTTTTGATTGCAGGTGGGAACGGTTACATCAATGACTATCCCATGGGGCGTTTCCTTCGTGATGCCAAGCTCTATGAGATAGGGGCAGGCACCAGTGAAGTGCGCAGACTTATCATTGGCAGGGCGTTTAATGCCACTTTTAAGTAACGTCTGCCAGTGGAGGGGCAGCACCCTGACCACCATGAGGCCTTTGACCATAGAGGCTGGAGCGCACAATTCTTGTTCTTCCTGCTTGTGATTCTGGGATCGTCACTTGTGGACTCTCTTCTGTCTGCTCTGTGAACAGATGCTGCTGGACTGGGCTTTGACAAAATGAATCGGACGGTAGCATGGAAGGAAAAGTGTTTTTTCTCTTCTCATGATCATCCTGTTTATAAGCCATCCTGATTCTCAGTGTTATGGGGCTGAGGTTCATCCAGGGAACATGCCATCTTTGAAGCAGGCTGGTGAGCAGTATACCTGAAATAAGAGGAAGCCATTGCTGAGCAAAGAAAGTCAAACCCCAGCCCCAAAAATGGACACAGAGGGAACAATTTTGTTCTTTTTAAAAAAACTGAGTGCCATTAAATAGCTAGCATCTTACAATATTACCAGTGGAAGGTGAAATTTCCCACTGTGACCTTCCAATGGGATTAATAACTTCCATTTTGGGAACTTGACACCAACCACATCATGGGGGTGGCTGTCATGAACACTCAAGCATCATTGATGCACAAGCAGTGTTTTAGGTGATGATTCCTAAAACCTCATTAAAATACCACATCTGTTTCTTTGCATACTTCCTTTCCTATTCCTGCTGCTTCTCAAGATATTTTAGCACAGCCCCAAGTCTTTGCTCCTCTGATTGACTACCTCCTGCTGTGTTATTCATTCAGAGGTGTCACCATCCATCATTCTGGTAACAGTTAAAATGTCAGACCTGTATTGTGACATCCATGAATGAAGCAGGCAGGAGGTTGACTTTTTGGGTTGGGGTTATTTGTTTTTGTTTTTTGGTTTGGTTTTTTTTTTTTCTGAAGGTTGTTCTTTTATCAAAAGCATGTACTCACACTCCACCTTCAGTTGGTTAAAGAAGTCAGAGCGAGCACAGCAGTATTTGTGGGTGTTTTCAGTGCATGCTATATGCAGCAAATTGAAGTTTACCTAGCCTTATTAAAGAAAATGGCACAGTATACTGCCAGCCTTAAAGAGTGAATCACAAAGAAAAATCAGATGTTGTAAATATGACAGAACAATTAATTAAACAGTTGCCATGTAGGCAATCTGCCAGTAAAAAAAAAAAAAGGAGCTTAAAGCTTTGTGGTTTGGTTTTTTTTGTTGTTGTTGTAGTTGGCATCTATCTATACTAGGTGATGGTAGACTAAAAAGAATTTTAAAATGCCACAGATTCAAGAAAAATTCATCTTCCTGAATTGCCAGGTAGGTCACCAAGTGTTTATAGAAGTTATAGAACTTCACTTTATCCAGAAATAGAAACAGCTTCTGAAGTCATGGTGGTAGTGCCTTCTTCCAAAGCTTCATGTTTATTCAGCTGTGGTGGATGGCTGTCACTCTGGAGGTGTCCCAGGGTTTGATTTTCAACCTTAATCCCTGGATGGAGGTAGCAGAGAGTGGACAGAGGTGACCTGTCAAGAATATCTTGTTGAGCTGCGCCTGAAAATGCTTTGGAAATGAGCCTTGAAGTGAAGTGCATGTCACATGTGAAACACTAAGTGTGTTACTGTATGTTAAGAATTTATTTATGTGACCAGACACTTATATTTTATCACAGAATGATTACAGATGTTGTCTGCTCTTGTATGTGCAAGTCACAAAACTGCTGCAGCTGCTACAGCCCAGTCTAGTGTCCCATGAAAGCCTGAGGGCAGGCAGGAGTTTTTGGATTTGCCCACGCGATTCGGGTAGCAGATTCCTGCTGTGATGAGTAAGGGTGGCTGCGCAGCCCCAAACCCCTCAGCCCTCGTCCCTCCCAGCGCTGCGGGCTGCCCATGTTTTTTCCAGCAGTCTGTGACCAGGGCGGGTATGCAGCAATGGGTGCTGCAGGGCTCAGCTGCTCTCTACAGTAGCTGCAGTTTTCTGTGTCCCAGTAAAATGGCAAATCTAACCAGAGAGGTGGTGGGAGCGCTTGCAAGGGCAGTGAGGAGCACAGGCACAGCGTCTCCGACACGTATCGGAAGCTCATATTTTACCTGTATGTTTCTTCAGCTCTTTGATATGGGAATGAATCACTGCAATTTTCGTTGAAGACTCAAAAGATCATAGGAACTGAATCACTGTGTTATGATCCATCTCTGGCCAGAGGAGCTTCTCTAACAAGTGTTAGAGCCTCGCCAGGATGTTGTGAGATTCAGACTGGTAAAAATAGGTTTTCTAAGGTGGAAGGAACCTGCATATTTTTAAACCTGTCCTCTAACATTGGAGAGGTCTAATTTTTAATACACATAATAAATAATGCCTTCACTTTCTAGGTTGATCGGTACCTTGGAGTTAAACGTAAAATGAATCAATGTCTAACGCATCATGGGACAGGGTGGAGGGAGAGATTCATAAATCTTAAGCAGGGTTATGTTAATCAAATCTCACTTCCACAGCAGCACTGCATGGGCTGCCTTGGGAAAGGGCTGCCTTTCCTTGCACTGAGCAGGTTTCGCTGTGGTATAAAAAGAAGGGCTGGGGAGGGCTCTTCAGGGGATAGGGTTTTAATCTATATATGATACTAATAAAATAAGCGCTTGCTGGGTGGTCTGTGCTCCTCAGAGGGCACATGCAGACCTTGCCTGGTACCCACTGCAGCGCATTGGGGCTGGCAGCAGCAATGGGTACAGCGTTTCTTTCCCTTGTTGTCCCTCCCTCTTTCTTACCAACCATGGCTTTTTCCCCTAACTCTCATTTTAAAAAACATATATTTATAGTGAATACATCTGGGCTGTGCCTCAGGCCTCCTCTGGAGAGCAGCAGAGCTAATAGGGAAAACATGCAAGGGCGCTGTGCCTCTTAATGGTGTCTGCTCTGAATTTGTAATGGAAATTGTCCTAGCCTGATAAGCATTCGGCTGATGGCAGGGCAGGGTTAGATGTGCTGCCCCTTTCCTGGTTTTCAAGATACTTGTCCTGTTTGCAGCTGGCTGGCTACTAAGCAGAGAAAGCATGGAGAGCGGAGGGAATTATTCATGAAGGTAAACACGGAGTTTATTTTAGCAGTGTGTATAAAATGTGGGGATTTTGAACGGGCAGGTTCATAAAGAAGTGTCTCATAGCTTATTGGGAATCCACAAGTGCTGCCTGTCCTAGGAAAGGCCAGGACTGAGAACCTGCACCCAGCGGTACCCACCAGCTGCCTGAGTTTTGAGGTACTCCCACAGTTGTTTTGCATGTGTAAAGCATCCGTCCTGTAGCAGCTGGGTAGGCTTCACAGGTTAGCAGTTTATTGATTTCTTGAAAGAAGAAAAACCACACTGGGTTCCCATGCTGAAGCTGCTGGCTCTGGGGGCATCCAGCTCAGGTGATTTATTTCTTGCTGTACGTGATCAGAGCCACTCTGCGGCTTGTTCCCTATGGTTGAACACCTGATGGAAGAACAGACTGAGCATAACGTCCTGAAGGTAGCAAAGCTCTGGCTCAGTTTGATCTCTTACAGGTGAATTTTGCAGCTGAAGGCATTCTGCAGAGAAACAGCTACACTTAAACCTGAGGATGTGCTAATCTCGGGATCTCGGTTGGCTGCAGCTGTGGGGTAGGTGCGCAAGACCAAGGCTTTCACCACACCGAGCAGGTTCTTGACCTGTTTTGAGCACTGGAAGGGCAGGAAGGTCTGGGTCACACCCACCTGCCCAGTGTTCCTGCCACAGATGCTGCAGCTCTCCTCTCTTCAAGCTCCTCCTTGTACAACCGAGCAAGCTGCAATAAATACCAACAGTATTTGCATGAGAAAACTTGTTCTGTGTCCTTAATCGATGCCCCTTTGCTCTGAGAGTCCTTTCTGCAGCTGTCTGCAGGAAAAGCCAGCTTGTTGTGGAAAAGGTGGGCTTGTGCTGAGCTATGATGCTGCCAGAACAGGTACTGAAATGTATTTGATGCAGAAACTCATGTCAAAAGGGAAGATGTAGTGGAGAAGATGGGCTGTAACATCTCTGGTGTCCTGCCTCGTGCTTCTTGGGGCAGATGGGACCGTGGGTCCTCCAAACTGTGTCCAAAACTGGAGTTTAAACAGAGGCACGTGTTTGAGGAGACGCCCGCAGCGTCAGGGTAGTGTTTGCTTTATAAACACGCTAAGGACACTTGTTCTAAAATATGTCTGCAAGGTAAAAACTGCTGCGGAGGGGTTTGGCTGCCTTGAGACCAGCTGTGCTTTATTATCGAGGTCTATTTGCAAAGGGTGCTATGACTATGGTGTGGGGCTGAACTGTGGGTAAAGCAAACCTCATCTAGTCTGGCGTGATCAAACCACGCCGAGCTATTCAGGATGTGTGAGAGGGACCTGGGTTTGAGCAGCATCCTGGGCAGGGCAGCGGTTGCCCCCACTTCTCTGCAGGGAGCTGCGTGGGTTGGTTTACCCCCCCCCAAAACCACCTCCCGAGTCCCACAGGCGCCTGCTGGGGCTGCCAGATGGGATTTCTAGTCTGCTGCCTTTTGCTGTAGGACCACCTGCTCGCTCTCAGCAGCTCCCTGCAGAGCCCGGTTCCCCGGAGAGCCTCTGTGCCCCCCGCTCCATCCCCACCGCCTGCCCCCGGGAAGGCAGGAACCGTCCCCCCCCTGCTTCAGTGGCAGCGGGGAGCACGTGTGCTCGTGTCTGTGCGGGTGTGTGGCAGAGGATGCGGTTTCTTGCCTGTGGGGCTGGTCCATGAGGGGAAGGGAGGCTTCGGTAACCTGTGGGGAGGATGATGTTTCCCTCCTGTGCTGGGCTTTGCTGTGCAATTTCAGTATGGAGTGACACATAACGAAAGCGTCCTTGAGTCTTGTTTTCGCTGTACGGAGGAGATGCGCTGAGGCCGAGCCCCACGATGATGCCCGAGCATTGTGCAGCCTGTCGCTCTGTCCCTGCTCACGAGCATCCCTCCTGCTCCTGCCTCCCCGGAGCAGCCCCGCTCGATGCGGTATTCAAAAGCTCTGCTTGTTCGGACTCTCGCTTGCCTTACGGCCTTCCCAGGGGCTCCTGGCAGAGCTCGCTGCGGTTAGACATCGGTGACCGGAGCACAGCCCCGCTGCTGTGTCACCTCCGTGTTTCCCACGTGTGGGTGAGCTGGCTTCTTTGCCGGGGCAGGGGGAGAGCCCGTGCAGCCGCATGCTCTGGCTGCCTCGGATGCAGGCAGAGAGGGCATGATCCCTTACGTCCTGCCTGCACTGGCAGTGGCCGGGGGCCGTTGCAGGCAGCTGCCAAGGCGGGAGCGGATCCTCCTGCGCAGCTGTGCCGGGACACGCTCCCCCTTGCAGCGAAGCACCCGCTCTTCCCGAGCCGCGGCCGGGCAGGAAGATTAGAAAGAGATTTCTTTTCAATATATAAAAGAATTCACAACTGCGAAGGGGAGACAAAAACATTCTTGAAGCCGAGGGGACAATATTGTGCGAGGGGGGACCCAGGGAAGCCGGGGGGGGGGAGCAGGGATTACTGTATTGGAGCCTGGGGTTGCACCGCTTGCACCTGCTGTTTGCTGAAAGGCTGATGCTGAGCAACAAGCAGCTGATGCTGAGGCCCAGTTGTCAGCCTGAATGGGGGGGGGGGGGGGGAAAAAAGGCCTGTGATGGGGGGGCCCACCAAAGGAAATGGCAGGCATCCCATCCGCCGGGCTGGAGGAGGGAGCGCTGGCGGTGGGGGGAAAGGAGCCAGCTCCCCCTTGGCACGTGGA